AAAATAGGAATTACCTCACCACCTGGCCACCTAATGAGTAAATTTTTGGTAGGAATCTCTGCATATCAGATGCTTACTAATGTCTCACATAGGAACCAAACAGAGAAAATCTTGCGTTCTTTTGGAATACTGCCGTCTCAGCTCGCTTCATTTTTTCAACAGAAATTCTTCCAGGACCATACTCACATTTGAAATTCGATTCGAGATTCACTTTTTCATGAGCCTTCAGCTCACTAAAACCTTATAGTAAAATTTAAAGTAGTATAGGCCACCGAAACAGTTATGCAAAATTTCTTAAATTTCAAACCTTTTTTTTAAAAGGTAAAATAGAAATAAATAGAAATTAAAGAAATAGTTTTAATAAAAAAAAAAAATTTTAATATAAAAAATGTAAATATTTAAAATACATTTATAAACTAAAATTAAAATAATAAAAATGAAAAAAAAATTTATGATAGAGCAATTCTTTGAACTGGCAGTGAAACAGGTATCCATTTGAAATAATTGAATTGAAATTTGGTATCTTTCCAAAAATCGATTTAAATTCGCACTGAACGATTTAATCCTTCTTAAGCCACAACAAAACAAAACAGATATTAACCCCAAATAAATTCAAATTATTCGTCTATAAACGGAAAAAGCAAGCGCACAAAATAAAATTAAAAATTTATACACCAACAACAAAAACACTATATTTTTATTTTATTTAAAGCAATAAAAGCTCAACTGTTTTGTATTTTTTCTTATTTTATTTGTCTGCTTAAGTAACCCGTTATAAAATAGTTTAAACCAACTTAAATAGTTTAAAAATGGCAGAAAATGAAAGAAAGGAGGAAACAAATAAGCGAAATCGCTAAAAAATGTTTCAAACAAAAAGGATAATAATAGCGCTGATGATTAGAGCACTGCTCTTTATGTACATAGTTCTATATGTAGCACATACCTATGTGCATGTGTATATTTCGCCTCACTAGCTAGGCAAATGTATAAGCTGCAGCGTGTCCGGAACCACGTGGGAAAATACAAAATACTCGAAGGCAGTCAAACGTGTGAGCTGATAACGACAAAACACAAAAACAAAAAATAAAAATAAAAAAAATAAAAAATCAAAATAGAACAAGAAAAAAAACAATAAAAAGCACGGTTACCATTTAAAGGTGAGCTCCATGTAGTTACATACGAGTATAAGCAGAGGAGAGAGAGATACCACACAGGTGTGTTTGTGCGAATGGCAAGAAAAAAATTGCAAAACAAATTCACGTGTAAATGTTTAAAAGCACATGAATGTATAATGAAATGGAAAAAAATTGCAAAATAAAAGCAAATGCTGGGCAATAACGTGAAGGGAGAACTTTGTACGGTGAAAAAAAAGTCGCTTTGCGGTTTTGCGGTTCTGTGAGCTGAGCTCGCTCAATGTTGCCGCCTGTCAACTGGCCATTTTTACAAGCCCAACGGATGTAAGCGTACAGTTGCAGTGGAGCAGTAGGAATATTTTAGATCTCTTTATTATTATAAAAATTAAATATTTTTTATTAAAAAAAGAATTAATGTGAATCATTTTCATTAAGTAATATATTAAAGCAAACATTTTCAGATAAAAAAGTACACAAAATACTTTTAAATAATACAATTTTTTTTCGTGCCAATTTTATAATCATGCACCATTTCTCAACGCATTTTTATCAAAATTTTGAAAAAGAATTTTTGAAAAAATCATTTTTTATGATATTTTGAGACCGCTTTAGCGGCACTTTTGCCATAAAATTTTACATCAGTAAATAAGTATAATAGTAATTTTTATTTGACTACCTTGTTACCAGCTTGTATCTAATTGGAATATGTAAATCTGTTTAAAAAAGCTTTATTTCGGTTTTATGGCAAATAATTAGTAAAATATAGTTAGTTTGTTCGACAACTAGTACCTTTGGGACTACTTACTACAGTAGAAATATGTAAATCTGCTTGAAAACAGTTTTTTTCTTCATCAAATTATATTCAATCATACGAAAATAAATTTCTTGTGATATTTTATAACTAGTTTCTTACGTTCTAGTGTATTTAGGCCATGTTTGTCACTAGTTAAAATGTCCAGTTGGGGACATATTTCAGTTTATAATGAATTTTTATACATTTGTAGTAAAATAGAAAAAAAAATTATATAGAAAAAAACACTTGACCCATTGAAAGACCCAAATCCTTTGTTCTAGCGCTTTTAGGTCTAGTTTGTAACTAGTAAATAATATCCAGTTGAAATATGTAAATAATCCTTTTTGTAAATAATTTTTCCATTGTGAACTTCTATTTCAAAGTAACTAATCCGAAAACAAATTTTGCTGCATTCGATTGCAGTATCTTTGGGACTAGCATTTTTTGTACCTAGTTTGTAACTAGTTAAAAAATTACCACTCGAAATATATAAATGCGTTTCCAAATAATCATATTCATTCATTCATTCATATTAAAGTAAATTCTTCGAAAAAAAAAACAAATTGAGTGTATTCTATTATATGTATTTTAGGGCCTAATTTGCTACTAGTTAAAAAAATACAAATTTTTACATTACACAGGGATGATGAATTTTTTTTTTTTTTTTTTTAATTTTTATTTGCTAACATTTTTAGTATCAATTAATACGAAGTGATTTTTAATTTTTTTTTTTTCAATTTTTTGGGAATTATTTATTTATTCTTAAATTATTAATCTTAAATTAATAAATAATATTATATATCAAAATTGCTAAAGAATTAAAAGTACTTCCTTTATAACGGAAAATGATTTTTATTTAAAAAAAATCATATTTTCTACTATTATTTTCGGTTGTAAATGTTTTTAAAGTCTTTTTGTGAATTTTCGTTAAAAGAAAAGAAGTTTCGAGAAATCCCAACTACAGATTTTCCTGCAGGGCTTCTGCTCGTATTAACTTTTTACCATTGTTGTAGTTATGTATGAGGCATACATTCACAGGTATTTATGTATGTATTTAACATAAAGTCATCATCACCATCATCATTGTTCGTTGGCGTTGAATTAAGCGGCAACAATTGTGTATTTAAAAGGAATTTTCCATCACTTGCCAATACCGACCACAGCCGTACAGCCAATTGCACTGAGACTAAATGACAACAACAACAAATACAACAATACACGCTGGTATATAGTTTTTTTTTTGTGTCAATATTCATACCAAATTGGTTTGCTATAGTGGAATGGAGTGAGTTTTATAAAGTTTTTGATATCGAAATTTATTCACTTTTAACTGCAAAGCTTTTGCCTTATTATTAAGTTCTTCCATAAACTAGTTTTTTTAAATGAAATTTCCCATTAATTTTTAACAGTGAGTAATCGTCTTTAAATAGGTCAGGGTTGATCAATATACTCGGTAGCAGTACTCTTGTGGTTGAGTGGTATAGTATCTGCACACAGTAAATCTCAAGGTAGTAAAGGTCTCACAAAGTGGCTTGTTCTCTCTTCTGCCAAGGATGAAATAGATGAAGTTGGGGATGAGGTGAAAAATTCCTGATGCACTTCTTTTCTCATGGGAAGCAGTTTACCGACAGCAAAGCTGACAAATTCAATTACCTAGAGTAAACCCTGGACAAAAAGCTACATTGGAGACCGAAAATTGATTAGAGAGCAGTAGAGTAGCAACTTGTATTAGGGGAATCGCTGGGGCTTACCATCTCGCAAAATGTCCTGATTCTATAACACGAAAGTTAAGCTTTTTTCCATAGCTTCATTATCTAGAGAAGGCAACTCAACAATAGCAGTGGTCTTGTGAACTATCTTTTTGTATTATTCTCGCGGTCAAACAGCGGGAAGCTTTAAAAAAACTTTGCAACTGCTCAGTTCTACATCTTGCCCCAGCTTTGGCAATTCGTTTGCTAATAGCTCCGATAAACTACTTCGCCATCTTTTAACTCTCAGAGTCACGAGACGAGTAGAATGGATATGACTACCTGTCATCACCTTTAGACAGATGGAGTTAATGCCAGTTTGGTGAACGGGGAAGGAATATCTTGATGTACACAATCTTTGCAGAATGAATTGTGCAAGAACCAAGGATATTCATACTCCTTCTCTCGCTTTCGGTAGGCACTCTAACTAATCAATATCCGATTGGTCTACATCAAATCAAGTCGAAAGTCCAACTGGAACCATATTGCAGGAGTTGCATGGAAGATAGTATCATCCCAGCTTTTGCTGCTTGATTATCAAAGTTCGATCTAACACTGGGACAGACACCCAAAATGTAGCCGAAAAAAAAATTATTAATTTTGGATATAAATATTTATTTTTTTATTTTGTTTTTACTGTTAGTTATTTTAATTTCAACAATTTGGAAACAGTTTTTTTTTCTAATTTCTTATTCAAACTGTTTTCGTAGGCTTCTTCTATTTTTTTTTTTTTTAATAAAATGTAATAATTGGCAAAAAAAAATATTTCTTTCTTAGCAAATAATTTTTATCAAAATCTAAGGAAAATAGCTCTCCAAACCCACCAAAAATCAAAATAAATTATCAGAGAACATTTTTCCGCCTACAGGGAAAAAATATATATATATATAATTGGCACTCTAAAGTGATTTTCGGTCAAGCTCCTCCTGCAATTTGTTTGTTGATGTTTTTCCAACAAATGAGAAAAAGCATTCCAACATATTTTAAGATGAAAAATTTTGACTAGTAAAAGTTTAAGCCATCAAACATTCATCTTAATAAATAGCTTAGATAACTGTAAATTCAATTAAATCAACAAGTCTTCATAGCTACTCAGCGTCTCTCAAAAATACCACTTTTCAAACCAAACCACTTAAGAAAAGCTCACCATATTTCCCAACTATGCGCTGCTAATACCAACCCCACACACCCACACACATACATACATACAAGCACATACTAGCATAGTTTCACAGTAAGTGAAATAATAAAAAGTGAATAGTGAAGTAAAAAAAAAATAGGAAATCACGAACAAAAAAAATGTATAAGTAAAACGCTTGCACTCACCTTATCCCACCCACATTGAGTATAATCCGATTTTCGCCATCCATATTGTTGTAAAGCGAAGTAGAGCAGCGGCATTCGCTTTCAGCTTGAAGAGCGGGCTAACTTTAGCGCACTCAATTGCTACTTTCAATGGTATTTTACTTGTAGTTTTTCACTTTTCTCTGCTATTGTTACGTATACGCCACGGCAGACGCGAAAAGTTTGAAGGTGAAGAGGATTTGAAAAAAAAAGATGTGTTTTACTCTTTTCAACACAAAAAAAAATTTGAATAAAATGTGAGGAAAATAAAGTAGTTTTAACTTTTGCTTTGTGACAAAGAATTTAAATAATAATTTTGCGTTTCCTCACTATTTCACTTAAGCCACTTTAATGGTTTTCCTCTTTTATTCAACTTTAATGTTATTTTCCGTTTACTCTTTAGCGCAATTTCTTTTACTATGGTTAGTTTAATGGCGTTAGTTGGTATTACGAAATATTTTTTGTTGTTTTGGTTTGCCGTTATAAGCTGTTGGTAGCTTTGTTGCTCAACTTTTTCAGATTTTTATTCAATTTTTTTTAGAATTTTAAAATTTGTTTTTAATTTTATTTTATTTTTAAGCATACAATTTTTTTATTTTGAATTAAATATTAGTAAATTTTTTAATTAGTGAAATATTATATATTTTTTTGCTATTATTTTTTATATTTCATTTATATTTTTTCTCTTTCTTTTTCTTGTTTTATTTTTATATTTTTATTTATTTTATTTTATTTTCATTTTGTATTATTTCTCCTTTTCTTAGTTTTTGGAATTACTGCATTCTTTCTCTAATATTTGCAAGACATTTTTTATTTTAATTTCACTTTACTTACATTCATACAAGCATACATATATGCACGTACGTGCAAATGCGTTGCAGGAAAATAATTAAATTTCTTCACAACTCACATAAATGCACGGCATTTCGCCATTCTTATTCGCATTTTCTTACCACCTTTTTTTGTAATATTCTTTTTTTTTTTTGTAATTTTTTTCAATTACTTTTCATTCTCTCTGCATTTAATTTCTGCTTGTAATTTGATTTTTTTACACTACTATCAAGTAATTGCTTTGAGTGCCTTTGCCGTCGAGCTTCTTTGTTGAATATTGCTTATTACGCGTATGCAATGCATAACTAGTAGTTTTGTATGTATTTTCAATATATTGCACAAACCTACACATACACACACACACACCCGCCCACTTGGTGCCACTGAACTCCACACCGCTCACCACCGCCCCTTCGCGGCGCACTGTATTTAATTATGCGCAGAGTAAAGTGTGAGGATGACGGCTTTGTGTCCAACGCCTGTGCACACGCACACAAGTTCACATTTATAAATTATGTAGACTCCACTTGTAGCTGATGTCTGCTATCAACGCCAGAGGCCAGCAGCTGTACGGTTGCTATGGTTGCCGCCAAGTTGACTCGAATGAATCTAAAATGAGTCTTCGTCACGTTGTGGTGCTTGAGTAGTGGCAATTGTTGTTGTTGTTGTTACTGTATTTATTGTTCAGTGTGTTGTTGCCTACAAACAGAAAGAAATATGTATAAAAGTCAGTAGTGTGGGAAAAAGGTCTGGATGTATGCATGAAAGTGTTAAATAAATGGCCAAATTAAATTTGCAGTCATTAAGTTCTACTTTTTCTCTTCTTCTTCTTTTTTTTTTTTGCAACAGGCTCAGGCAAAGTCTGAGTGGAACAAAAGAGAATTTAAAAAGTAAGAAAATAATAAAAGGAAATGCAGTGAAGAAACTAAAAGAATTTAATTAGAAGCACTCAAAGGTCGTAATTTTTCTTGTTTTGTAGTTTACATATTTGTAGTATCAAAGACTATTAAGTGCACGGAAATGGTTTAGTGGGCGAGTTAGAATGTGAGCGTAGGTGAAGTACTTGCTGAGTAATTCACACTCAACAATGAAGGTATATATGTAGGTGTGACGTGACTCTTATTAACAATGACTATGAACTAAATAAAGGCTGACATGCATTCTTCCAATTGGTGCTAAGGTAGCTGATTGCATAACTCGTTCATTTCAAACTAGTTTTCGATTAGTTGCAAAAATAGCCAACCTTATTTTCAAAAAATCGAGAGAGGAAACACGTTTTAAATGCATTTTCAATGCATTTTATCTCATGTTATTTTATTTTATTTTATTTTATTTTATTTTATTTTATTTTATTTTATTTTATTTTATTTTATTTTATTTTATTTTATTTTATTTTATTTTATTTAATTCAACTTTTATTTTATCATGTTTTATTTTATTTTCTTTTTTATTTATTTTCTTTTTTCCCCCTTTATTTAATTTGATTCGATTTGATTTAATAAAAAAAAAATTTAGTTTTATTTTTATTTTATTTCATTTTGTTTCATTGAAACTTTTTATTTTTAAATATTTAAAGTAATTATATTTTATATTTAATTTTTTTCTTTTATTATCTTTTTAATTTTATTTTGTTTTCATTTATGTTTCATCGTTTTAAAACGACAGGCCGGTGAAATTAATAATGCAAATAAAATGTACTTAAAGAGCAAGGAAACCGTGGGTTGAAAATGAAGCAATTATTCGGAAATAAAATAAAATATCTCTTTACATTGTATGTGGGCTTATTTTTAATCAAGAATCAAACCAAGCAAAAGCATTTACCATATCAAGTACGCTTTATTTAGCTTCATGCCCCGGCACAACTTTTTTATTTTACTGTGCCACTTTTCAAACTCTGCTACACTTTTTCCGCCAATGTCATATGACAGTGGGTAATGCGCACAATGGGATAGCAAACACAGCAATAAACGCACTTTTTCGACACACATACATTTTTTATATGTATGAGTGTATTGTGGGAATTCAACTTTTTTTACTACACCGCTATTAAGGGCAACCATCGAAGGGATGTGAGTCTCAGCTCCTGCGTAACGCGACGCGACGTCTTTAGTAAGCACGCCAAAAATCAAGCCTTAAGAAAATTCCGAATATTTTTTATTGCAATAACTTTTCATTCCTTTAACTAGGTTTTCACTTTTTCACTTAAATTTTCTTTTTCATTTACTTGTGCTCGCTCAATATCCAACATCCCGGCCACTGCCCATCGCGTTCATAAAGTGAGTACACCGCATGTCAGGTGGTTTCTTGCTCGGCCCGTGCTTGAATATTTAATTTTAAATTATTTCTTTCAGCTGCGTTTTCACTTATAACCACACCGTTCTCGAGACACTGACCGACTGATGCTGCGCGCATCTTGAAGCATCCTCCGACTAGGCGGCATCACTGCAACACCGACAGTGGACAACGAAAACGTCAGTGTACTTTCGTAAAAAGCTCAATGGCACACTCCCTTCAGTTATCCGCGTTGAGATTTCATGGTGAAAGCTGCGTGGATAACAAAAGAGCAAAAAAGAAGCAACACACGGAAGGGATAAAATCACGCCTGCTTTGCTCAACACATTACAAGCATAGTCTCTTTATTCTCTGTATGCTGTAGGTGAGTGGTGAAAGTGTGGTGAATATGAAATATATATGCCATACACGGCGAATAATTTTCTCCGTTTTTGATTTTGAAAGCGATTCAATGTTATTTAGGATGGAGGGTTCATTAACCTCTCTTTTCTCACAGCAGCTAAACCAAAGTTATTGCTTTAAATATTTAATGGTCTGAACTCCGGTGAACTCTGTACACAATCCACCATTATGACCAAAGTGCAGAGTCATAAACTAATTCCTCAAATAGATAGACTGCAGTTCTGCAGACAAGAGCAAACAAACTTTACTGGCCCCCAGCTGGCCGGTTATAAGCTATATTTGGCACAGCTGAAGAAACTTCGGATCTACCAAAGCAGGTCAGTAGCAGCAACTTGCACCACTTAAAAAGCCATGTACTCGTACTTATGTTCCCATCCAAGGACTGTTATGTTAATTATTGCCACTTGAAGACACGCACACAGATCTAGAGTAACTCGGTACAGTGAGATTTCATTGAACCGCTGACCATGACTACATACAGATATGCCTTAAAAAACATCTACGGTAATACCGTTGATATCTTCACTATTACTCCACCTCCTAGTGAATGAATCCATGCTTAACTTATTCCATGCAAGGCAAGGCTTCTTCGCTCGAAACCAACCAAGAGTTAAGGTGTTCTGGCTGATTGAACTACTATCTGTATAGACTATATCCCGTGAAGGTCTATAAGTACTACAAATGCGACGAGTCCCTGTAGGGTAGTTACTAATAACCTCCTTACAAACGTTTCCTTTGGACTGTATTAATGTAAACCCTACCATTCGTGAGTCTAGTTTTACTTTCTTCGGAGGTTTTAGTGCCCACTACTACAATTACAATAACAACGAGTTGTAGAGCTTGATCTTTGTTCATCGGGAGGCGTTGAAAATAAACGAAATTATCTCAAACATCAAAGTCAAGTTAACTCGTGGGAAACCGCAGTCCGTTGAGGTCCTCCTAGATACTGGCGGAGGTTCAGTTTTTGATTGGCGTCAGTGTATATATTTGTACAGGTTTTGTGGGTATAGCATAGTAAAGACAGCTCTTTTTGTATTGTGAGAGGTCAGTGGAGCTGTCGAAGGTGGTTTGCGTCGATCTTTCAGGGATCCTTTCTTAGATTTAACTGATGAGAGTCATCTAGTCCATGGTGGATCTATTATGTATTTTAGTATGGTTTTGTTGAAGTATCCAATACACTAGATAACAACTTATATGTGGCATTGAGTCGACTTATACCACGATAACTCACACAGACAATGCGATTGACATATTTTTTAACTTTCCAAACGCCTAGAAGCATATAAGCTGATGCAGACACTTTGTCAGCTCCTCACTTATATATAATTTATATATACATATAGTATATATGCATCTCTCAGCTGGCAAAACAACGACTCCAGCCACTTTGCTGCTCTCCGGCGACATACAATCGCTGCTCGGATTTCATACTAGTCGGGCGTTGATCCCTACTTGTGTTACTCTAAATAAAATTCCACATCGGAAAAGGCAAGAGAGTATTCAAGGTCGCAAGGTGATGAGTTTCTACGAATCAATAAATTTTTTACAGCCGGAAAATTGATTCTGAGTACCGATTTGCATTGCCCCTACTTAATTGACTAATCATTTATTATTAATGAAATAAGATTTTGCATTACTGAGTATAAGAAAATGTATATGTATGTATGTATGTATGTATGTATGTATGTATGTATGTATGTGTGTAGGTATAAAAA